CCTCACACATAAAACGAGTGTCTTCGCGTCGTTGTTGCCGTTGTTTTGTTTGTGCCACAGAACATTGCATCTCTTCTGAGCAAATTTCTTTTGAGTTGAAAGGAAGCTGTATTTATGAAATGATCACCTTTCTCTCCTCAAACGCTTGGGTATATTGGATGATTTGCGGGACCATGTTTGTATTTGCAGGTGTTGTTCTTCAGTAAGAGGTGTCTGACAAACAGACAAAAACAAAATTCACATTACGGTGGTCTGTTCAGTCTTTATTTGGTACATATTAATGCATTTCAGCTTGAAATGTCCATGAAGGATGGAAGAAATAGTTTCATGTCCACTTGTAACTTTACGAACACTGTCATCCAAAACCAATCATGCATGTACTCTTGTAACCAATGGCATTGTTTTTGTGTATAATCAATCACTGTCACTGGTTTTCGGATTACGGTCATTGTCACTCGATTCTATTTGCCACTGTCTTGCATTTCATTACGGTGACTATGGTTGTCAACTTGTGACATCTCGTTTGTCATGCCAACGTTAATGCCATGATGTCATTGGCAGTAAACACCTGACGTCATCACCACGAAACACTGCGTTGAGCCTGGGCATATGTTCTCGATTAGAAAGCACTTGGCCACACACCATCTGTCTTGTTCACTCGCATGAAATCACTGAGTAATGGGATGTGTACCAGTTATCGGTATATAATGTCTGGCCCTTTCCAAAGATTTAAGGTGCCATCATGTTTCTCCACTACGTCACCTGATATACCAATAAACATCTTGGTATCTTTCATGTTTTACTACCCGTGTATACAAATATCCAACACCAGGCCACTGTCACAATCACAGAGTACAACCAATTTATACCAAGCGGTCCTCTTGCTCGGTAAATACTGCTTGAATGACAGTCTACCTTTGAACAAAATCAAACAGACTCGTCAATTACAAGATTCTTGAATGGATAAATGTATTATCCTGACTTTTGTTTGAGATATTGAGAACATTACTAATCTGTATAACCTGTCATTTCTGTCAGGCCTGGTTTTGTCAAGAGAAGTGCAACTATACGTAAACAGTAAGATAAACCTGTTCACTGGTATTATTTCACTGATGGATGGGGGACAAATTAGCGATCTGTGGACCAGTATGCTTTTCTATTATGCTTATAGACGTAAGCATATACATTATTGTTGCAAAACGCAAATACATTTCTGCAAAACAGTCGTTCTTTCACCTGTGTAGTCTTGACTTGTGGTGATAAGATCGTATTTTGCCATGGTGTACTCGAAAATACTTATTACTAGTCATTGCAATAATTTCCATCAATGGCTGGTTCAAAGCATAATTCAAAGAAATTCAGTTCATTGGCCGTGGTTCAAGGGGCAGGTAGGTAGAATTCCACTTTGAGAGTCTCAAAGTGGTAGAGCTGGGAACAATTGGGGATTTGCGCCAATCCCAGATACGGTTTGCTGGTGGATACTGGGACATCATTAGGCTGGTTGTACGGGTGGTTGTGGCGGGCTGGTGGGTTGACGCTCCGTTTGTCCTTGGACGACGGAGTCAGCAGAGTGGGTCCCCGCGTGGCACAGCAAGGTCACGCATGGCGGTGCCACTACCTCCACCAGCCCACTAACACCATCACTGATGTCTGTGGCCATCTATCGCCAAGTGTTGTAGCCCATCATCCTCACATCACTAACTAAACGGGTGTAGGGCCACGGGATGTACTCGGGATGTACTCCGTCCTGGTACAGATAGGGTACACATACCCGGAGCGCATGCGGCGGCGAACATACCGACGGTTCATGGTGAATATGTTTCCTCACTATCACTACTCGAATGAACGTCGAGGCAATAAAATCACATCCTCGTCAGAATCATCGTCATTACTGAGTCAGAGGCCAAGGCCACGGGAAAATATTATTTTTCTCTTACGTTTAGGGAAAAACACCCGACCGTGGGTCACGAGTGCCCAATCCAGGGTAGAAGGTCGGGATCGTGGGGTTTTCATGCACTATTATCGATATCCTGGTCATTATATTCGGTCACTAACTTATCACAAAGCCGTGAGAATTGTCTTATTTCCACTTCCATCAGTGTCAGAAACATCAGACAGGCAGAGGAGAGTCTCCCATTTTCGGGGAGTGAGAGCTGACTTGCGACGAGGCATGGTGAACCGGGTGGCTGAAGCCGGCGTTCCCACAATACTATAGCAGGGCCTAGAATTTTTTTGTTTTCGGCGCACCACCCACGGCGCAATACATTCTCTCATATGTAGGCCTATGAGCGCTTTCGCGCTATTTGACGGGGGACGCTAGAATTTTGGTAGATCTATGGTATGGACAACTCACCGACAGCCGTAGCTCTACGGGACGGACCCTGAAAGGGTTAAAATCAGTCAGTAAGTGTCTTATGTCTCAGACGTATTTGGTAAGATAAAAATAATCGAGTCTCTTTAAATGTCGTTTATTACGGTAAATACACATTTTCATTAATCCATTTTTGATTTTTTTTTTCAAAAATTATATAAAAAAACAGGGATTAACATAAACATAAAAGTGATAAAAAACCCCCCCAAATAGAATAAAAAAACTAAATATGAGTGTGGTAGCAGAGACTTGCACAATGAGCCATTTTAAAAAAGTAAAAATAATAATAATAATAATCCCCCGAGTCTCATTAAATGTTGTATATTACGTTTTACACATTTTTCTTTAAACCCATCTATATTTTTTTTTTCAAAATTTATAAAAAAACAGATAATAACATAAAAAGATGATAAATAACCTAAAAAAGAAAAAATTTAAACATAAATATGAGATGTGGTCCCAGATACTGTACAAGTGATCCCAAGAATAACATTTTCTCAAATTTAAAACAAAAGAGAAAAATGTTTTATGGGGGCAACTGAAAAAAATTTTTCCCTTTCTATGTATGTTAATTTTTTTCAGGTAAACCAAATACAGTTACATGATTATCATACATAACAACATTGTGTAGAGAAACCTGGGATACCCAAAAAAGTCAGAGTGACTTATTTCCATTGCCTTCACTCAGAGCACATTTTTTCAAAATGTTCATGAGAAAGGGGGTGTTCTTCTTTATTTTTTCTACCCTTCAAAGTAGAGACAACCTGTACACAATTAACTTGTACAAAACAGACGTGTACATTCGTTAACAAAACTTACCCCGTGGTTTGTTTACATAACTCTGCCCTGTCCTCTCTTGCACTATTTTTCTCTCTTTTTTATTCGTTTTTTTTCATTTACTTTCCCTGACCCTACATTAAGACTACAAATTTTTAAGGTAAGTAATGATTTAACTGATATACATTTTTTCGCTTGGGGTGCTTAAATGTATTTGAAATTTGTGTGGTGGGTTGGCCTGGTATGGTAGCCCCGGGTGACTACCATAATACCACACTTGATTTTTTACAAAAAATACTACCATCTCACCCATATTTTAAGGTAAGTAATGTGTGAAATTTTATTACTTTTTTCGCTCTGGGATGCTTAAAAATATAGAATTGTATGGGTGGGTGGGGTGGCCCGTAGGTGCTGGCTGATACCATCATAAACCCCACTTGATTTCTACAATAAATATACTTTCACCCTAGATTAAGTATAAATATTTTAAGGTAAGTAATGAGTGCACTATGTGTGTATTGTACTTTTTTATTGTTTTTTGATGCCTGGTTCTATTGCTAACTTAATATATGTTAGTGTAAACTTGTTATCTAGTGTTTGTATGCATTTGTAAGGGTGTTCCACTTTACGGCAGTTTCCGCTTTACGGCGGTAGCCTGGAACCTAACCAGCCGTATAAGTGGGGCCTTCCTGTATACATATTAACGTAATATACGACATTTAATGAGACTCGGTGATTATTATTATTATTATTATTATTATCATCATTACTAATATGGTGTCTCGAGACATAAGACACTCTTACTGATTTTAATGTGTATCTGCATGCCAGCACAATGTGAATGTTTATTTAGGTACAGGTATATATAAGTATAATTATCAGAGTATATATAAAATATGAAAAAAACTTTTAGAAACACTTGAAATTTTGTAGTTTCCAGACATAATGGAGAGACTTAGTGCTTACGGATCTCACATAGAATGCAAACAAACCGGGTGGGGCACGGTGACTGTATTAGAAAGTCAGGTGGGGGGAACCGTAAAGAGAGTTTTGGTCATAATTTGAAATGACTGTATTAGAGGAACACCGTAAAGCGTGGCCCTACTGTGCTCCACCCTTCTTGTATCACTTTTGCACATCACCCACTCAACAAAGCAACCCTGCTGCCAGGCAGGCTACTCTACCAAATTACAAATGGATTGAAGTCCATCCTATACACTACAAATGCATTTATCACTTGATTCACAGTAAGAGGAAAACATCGGAGGACCAGCACCAGAAAAATAAATTCAAGCTGCAATTGACCACAGGCACAAATTTCATCCCCCATCCAGTTTCTTCTTTCAGCCTTGGGGAGGCAGAGAGCCCAGCCCACAAGAACTCGACCAACACAACCACAACCATGGCTGCCCATTGTGATTTATCTCCTAGCTCCTTTCAGTGATTTTTGGCATCACTTAGAGATAACACACTGCTTGAAAATTTCATCTATGTCCAAGAACTGAGAGGATAAATGTAAAATACAAAGCCCTACACAAAGGTCTCATTAAACTTGACAACATACTTACAAATAAGACAGAAGAACTATTGAACTAAACTCAAGGTTGGACTTTTATGAATAAAGCCCAGCCTTGGTTGAAAAGTTTTAAAGAAATTCCCTTCTAGTAGTGTCTTTATGGCACCTTTAAGCTCTGTCTACACTGCTCTCTTTATTTACTCATGTATGCTTAATTACCTAAAACCACACATACATCTCTAATCAGATCAACTTCTTGGAACAACCTGTCAATAAGGAAATTTATAGTTTTTTAAAACTTTACAAATTACCACCAAGGTGGAGTAATTTGGTATAAAATTGCTGTATGTGCTAAACTTTCAAGTCATCAATAACAAAAGTGCATCCATGCAAGCTTACCCTTAACTGAGGTTTTGGATGATAAACATAACGAAACAGGCATGGGAGAACTTGAGCCCCTCTCTGGACATTAGTATTTGGAGGACTATCAGCCCAGTCTCTCTTGGCTTTGCACAACTTGACAGCATCATCAACACATGCCATGTGAAGCTGGGGGTCCAAATTCCAATCTCGAGATACAAAATACTGTATTTCTAACAGGGCAGCTTCACATGCTGAGGGCATTTCTGGAGAATCTATGTGGCGCATAAGGCATCTCATGACTCTGTGGATATTTAATTATTTAATTAAAGTAATTAAGGCATTTAATGATTCACTATATAGTAATTAATTACTACTCACTATACAGTGGACCCCCGGTTAACGATATTTTTTCACTCCAGAAGTATGTTCAGGTGCCAGTACTGACCGAATTTGTTCCCATAAGAAATATTGTGAAGTAGATTAGTCCATTTCAGACCCCCAAACATACACGTACAAACGCACTTACATAAATACACTTACATAATTGGTCACATTCGGAGGTAATCGTTATGCGGGGGTCCACTGTATATGTAAATGGAAGGATATGAAGTTCATTCAAATTAAATTTAAAAAATACATTTCAAGTGCAATTAGTGGACCCTCTGGTTACACCATTAATCCATTCCAGAGAGCTAGCCTTTAACCGATTTAGCCTTTAGCTGAATTAATTTTCCCCCTAAGAAATAATGGAAATCCAATTAATCCATTACAGACACCCAAAAGTATTAAACAAAATAATTTTTTTTACATGAAATATACATTTCCCTACACAAAACAATGATACATGAACAATAAACAATACTGAAATGACAATTACCTTCATTGTGGACTTGTTGATGAGTGATGAGACGGGAGGAGAAGAAAGGATGAAGGTGTTCTATTGTTTGGAAGGGGAATCCCCTTCCATAAAGACTTCAGGTACCAAGTCCTTTTCTGGGGTTACCTCCCTTCTTTGTTTTTTAATGCCACTATGACCAGCTTGAGAGTCACTGGACCCCTGTCGCACAAAATATCTGTCCCGAGAGCTCTGTTTCTCGCATCCCTTTAAGATTTCCTTAAAATGAGACACAAGAGTGTCATTGTACAAGTTGCCAATACGGCTTGCAACAGCTGTTTCAGGATAATATTCATCCATAAATGCTTGCAACTTTGTCAACATTGTACACATTTCCTTAATCTTTGATGATGGCAACTTCCTCTGTCTCTCTTCCTCCTCCTCTGAAGCAAATTCCTGAGCTGTGATCTGTTGCTGTTGCACCTGAAGCTCTTGCAGCTCTGTAGTGGTTAGCTCTTCATCGTCATCCTCCACCAACACTTCCACATCCTCGCCACTAACCTCCAACCCCATGGACTTCCCCAATGCCATAATAGATTCCACAACTGGCATAGTCTCCTGAGGGTTAGCCCCAAACCCTTCAAAATCTCTCTCTTCTACACATTGTGGCCACAATTTTCTCCAAGCAGAGTTCAAAGTCCTGCAAGTCACTCCCTCCCAAGCCTTACCTATAAGGTTTATGCAACTGAGGATACTGAAGTGATCTTTCCAGAACTCTCTTAGGGTCAATTCAGTGTCTGAGGTCACTTCAAAGCACTTTTGAAACACTGCTTTGGTGTACAGTTTTTTTGAAGTTTGAAATGACCTGCTGTTCCATTGGCTGGAGGAGAGGAGTGGTATTAGGAGGCAAAAACCTCACTTTGATAAAGCTTAACTCCCCTGCAATTTGCTCTTGCAAGTCGTGAGGATGAGCAGGAGCACTGTCCATTACCAGGAGGCACTCGAGTGACAATTTATTTTCCAGGAGGTACTTTTTCACAGTGGGGCCAAACACGTCATAGAACCAGTCAAGGAAAATGTCTCTAGTGACCCATGCCTTACTGTTTGCTCTCCACATTGCACACAATTTAGTCTTGACGACATTGTTTTTCTTAAACACTCTGGGGGTTTCAGAGTGATACACGAGTAAAGGCTTCACTTTGCAATCCCCACTAGCATTACTAGAGTTAGCCTGTTTTTCACAGGCATGTGTCCTGGGAGTGCCTTTTCCTCCTGAGTAATGTAGGTCCTGTTCAGCATTTTCTTCCAAAACAGGCCTGTTTTGTCACAACTGAACACTTGTTGGGGTTTTAATTATTCAGTAACTATGTACTCCTTAAAGTCCTGCGCATATTTTTCTGCCACTTTTTTGTCAGAACTGGCAGCTTCACCATGCCTTATCACACTGTGTATGCCACTACGATTTTTAAATATCTCAAACTAGCCTTTGCTGGCCTTAAATTCGTCAATATGAGCACTATTTGGAGGCATTTTCTTAATGAGATCATCATGCAACTGCCTTGCCTTTTCACATATTACTGACTGAGAAACACTATCTCCTGATAATTGTTTCTCATTTATCGACACCAACAACAGTCTCTCCACATCTTCGAGTATTTGCAATCTGTTTTGTAAGCATACTTGCACCTTTTGCAACAACAGCTTCCTTGATTGCCTTTTTGTTAGCCAAGATAGTAGTGATGGTTGAATGGGGTTTGTTATATAACCTTTCCAACTCCAAGATACGCACTCCACTCTCAGACTTTGCGATTATCTCTCTCTTTAATTCAATAGTATTTCTCACCCTTTTTACCACAGGGTTGGCACTAGAAGCTTTCTTGGGGCCCATGTGGCTTATTTAGCAGTTACAAGCACTAAAAACAATGGAATAATACAAAATATATTGCATGTATGTGTGGAATCGTCCTCACTGGCTTTGTAAACAATGGCACATTGGCTGTCCACAGAGCCATGGAGTGGCTGGGCCCGCTCAGGCCGTGTGGATACGTTTGGGACAACAGCCATTAACCGAGTTATTTGGCATTTGCCGAGCCATTATTTTTATGCCAGAGCGAGCCATTATCCGATTTTGGCTCTAACCGATGAGGCCTTTACCCAAGGGTCCACTGTATACATTGTTGAATGAAACAGACATTTCCTCCCTTCTCTCATTTATAAACTACAAAATGCACACATGAATTATTACACACCTTGCATTTCCTCCTCTAACATCCTTGCAAGAAGATTCTACAACAGGAAGGCAAGCCTCGTGCAGCACAGGATCAACCCGCCAATCCTCACCAGCATCAGATTCCTTAACCACTGTTTCCAACTGAAAAATCCAAATAAAATATTTTATCAGTGTTTTTACATTCAGAACTTCAGAGTTGCTAAAAAAGCTTGATGAATGTACAGCATCACAAAGTTTAACCTGTAAACGGTCCAAACGTACATACACCTACCATCCGACTTACGACTGGGTTCGTAAGTCGAAATGGTCCTAAGTCGAACTTTACTACTGAATATCAACAAAATATTTTTGTAATGACTATTTTATTGTTTTATTTTGATATTTCATGTTTTACTTTACTTTTTATGTTGTTAGTACTGTATTTTATACTCTAAGGTTTAGGATAAACACTGTGTACAACACAAATAGTTGTTTATTTCCCAGAAATTTGGCATAAAAAACACGGTCCTAAGTCGAGTGGTCGTAAGTCGAGCTGGTCGTAAGTCGGATGGTAGGTGTATATGTTTTTACCGCTAGTGCCCCAAACGTATATACAGTGGACCCACGGTTTACGATATTTCACTCCAGAAGTATGTTCAGGTGCCAGTACTGACCAAATTTGTTCCCATAAGGAATATTGTGAATTAGATTAGTCCATTTCAGACCCCCAAACATACACATACAAATGCACTTACATAAATACACTTACATAATTGGTCGCATTGGGAGCTGATCGTAAACCGGGGGTCCACTGTATATATTTTATTTTTCCTGCCTTCAAATTTGGCACAATTGGCCTGAGATGCCTTGTCAGCATAGAATGGGTCTTAATACTCAGTGTGCGCGGTATTAAAAAAATCTGGGACCACTTAGTACCTTGTGGGAGCACCAGTTCAAATGAGCGCCAGCTAGAGCAAACAGCACAGCAAACACCTGGGATTCACTGATGTCATGTAGTCTTAACACTCCCATTTTAAGAGGAAAGTGGTTTTGACCCTGAATTTAGTGGCTTTGAGGTAGATGTGGCCACAAGTGGTCGAGGAAATATAAAAAAAACCTCGATAATAACCCATGTGCAATATTTGTGCAACACCCTTTCAGAATGTCTTATAACCTATGCACTAAGTAAAGAGAAACAATTCTGGCAGGCTGGCTAGCTGGATGGCTAGCTGGCTGGCCAGCTGTGTGGCTGGCCGGCTGCTGGCAGCCTGGCTCTATCTCTGTTTGTCTGTCTGCATCTATGTCTATCTCTGTCTCTATCTCTGTATATCTTTGTCTCTGTCTATCTGTCTCTGTTTATCCTTGTCTATCTCCTTCTATCTATCTCTGTCTCACAGGTACACATAAATACAGTATACATAGTGTAAAATACCTAGGATAACTCAAAAAATCCTGACAAAGTGCTATTCTCTGCTTGAAGATGTGCGTAAACGTGATGATGACGCAGTCTTGTGGCTATTTGAGACAGAGACCTAGATGGATTGACAGGGAGCTTGACAGACAGACAAATAGACAGACATGTTTGTGTACCAGCGAAACAAAGCCAGGCCCTAATCTTTTCTTATCAAGTCTCATCACTGCACCCTTGTGAATGCTCATCAAACGTCAGCTCTTATCAAATGTTATCTCATCTTATCACGTCACTGTCAGGGGTGGACTTTCTTTTTCTTGCTTCAAGTCGTCTTCATCTTCTTCTTCGTCGTCGTCGTCGTCGTCTTCTTCGTTGTCGTCTTCTTCGTCGTTGTCTTCTTCGTCGTCGTCTTCGTCGTCTTCTTCTTCGTCTTCTTCTTCGTCTTCGTCGTTGTCTTCTTCGTCTTCGTCTTCATCTTTGTCTTCGTCTTCCATATCACACTGTGTAAGAACTCTATGCACATAAAGGGCCCCAAAACATGGAATTCATTACCAGAAGATATTGAAGTAACCCAGTCTGAAAATCAATTTAACCCTTTCAGGGTCCGTCCCGTAGATCTACGGCTTTACGCTCAGGGTCCAAACCGTAGATCTACGCCATGAGCTCAGCTCACTCTGATAAACTGAGTGGTACATTTGGGCCTAGATATGAGAGAATACATCTATGTGGTATGTGTGCACCACATAAAACAGATCCTGCAGCACACTGTGTATAATGAGAGAAAAAAAATGAAATCATGATTTTTCGATTAAAACAGCAACTTTGCAGTGTTTTCTCGTATGTTTTTTATAGTTGTATTTGCGATTTCTTGGTCTCATTTGATAGAATGGAAGACATATTACAGAAATAGAGATGATTTTGATTGGTTTTAGCATTGGAAATGGCTTGAAACTGAGCTCAAAGTAGCGGAAATGTTAAATTTTTTCCGATATTCAAGAGTAAACAAACGACCTCAAACGTCTAATTCACATCAGCTGGTGGGTCTAATATACATTCACAAATATGGTGATGATATTTATACAATTATTACAGTATTGCATAACAGTAAATCTTCTATTTTTTGGTGTGAATAAAAATTCATTATGTGAATAAAAAATCAAAATGGAATTTATTTGTAAAGCCTCAAAACATAACTAATGAACAGAGGAAATGTTAGTTTAGTGCCAGGAATGCCTACATTGTTCATTCTGGACCCTATTTTGAAATTGGTATATTTTGAACTTTGTGTTAAATTGGCCAAATTAACAATTTCCGATCACTTTATTTTGTAGTTGAAACAGTTGACTTGGCGATTTCTTGTGCTCAATCGATAGAATAGAAGTAATACTAGTGAAATAGCTAAGAATTTGGTTGATTGGAATAATGTAATTGGCCTAAAAAAGGGAGTCAAAGTCGGCAAAATCGCCGATTCGTAAATATCGCTGACACATCAAAATTCGCGAGAGCATAATTTCGTCAATTTCCACCAAATTTCGTACTTTTTGTTTTATTACCTTCACAAAAAGATTCTCTACGATTTCATAAGAAAAAATAACAAATTTTTTTTTTGAAAATTCTTGGACACTGGTGCGTGGCTCCAGATTTGGGCCTTGGACCCTGAAAGGGTTAAGACTCTTCTCAAAAGCCACTTAATCACCCTAGACTAATGCTAATACTCATACACATATG